AAAGTAGACAAATGTCATGAAATGCTGCACGTAGACCCAGACGAGCAGCGGTCGGCGAAAGCGCGCGCCCCACTTGACTTCGAGGTCCGTGGACGTCGCGAGCCGGCTCAGCCGCCGGAGCGCGCCCGGCATGCTCGTTGTAACCGTCACGTTCAAAATGAGATGACCGGGCGCGTGGCTTCCGGAGCCGATCGACGATCCTGTAGGCGGACGGCCGCATCTTGGCGACGTATAACATCCGAACTGAACACATATGTCGGTGCTCCAACATCTGTCTCTAGAGCATTTTCTGACAACAAAATAAGGCCATATCATGTATCCATGCTACCGTTCCGTAGTAGTATGTCCTGTATTGGAGGTGGCGGGTGCGCACCAAAGCTTACACATATATGATCGCGTTTCGTGTTATCTTCATCATTCGCTCGCCGGGCCGTGGCTGCGCAGGTGCGGGCGACTAAAGCCGCGCGGGACTAAAGCTTGCGTAATAATGTCCTTCGCAAGGTCTCTGTTGCAGTGGAAGGCGAATCGGCGCCGATCCCGGGATGCAAACACCGCAGTCGTCCCATCACCTAGCACATCGATGCTTGAAGAAATCATGTGCGGCCACGTGAAGGGACGATCGACCCCCAAGATCGCAGTGTCCATCTACCATAGAGTCGTAAAAGTACGTCCATATGTGGTTTTGTTGATGTGGGTCCTCTATCCAAGGGGACGCTCTTGTAGAGCTTGAGAAGGATTGCAATGTCGTCTGGACAAACAGAGGTTAACAGTGCGAAGCGCGATTCGCGGTGACCAGATACTTCCAGATGCCAGCGCTGCCCCGACCGCTGAGCTGCTACGAGCCGGAGTCGCCAAGGAAAATTCAGGTAGTATATGCTGTGCTTAGGAGCTCTTCAACGCGAGAGTTGTTGATCCTTCTCACATGTCGTCGACCTGCTCGCCCCTTCGTATCGCGAGCTGCTTGCGGTACGTGACGGCCCACGTCTCGGACCGCTCGCGCTCGCACTGCGTGATGGTGCTGTAGTCGAGCTGCACGAGCGACGGCATGTGGTAGATCGTATACACACGGTAGTGCTTCTTCTCGTCCACGGGGTTGCCGTGGAGCGTGAGCTGGCGCAAATGCACGAGGCAAAAGAGCGCGTCAATGTCGGCGTACGCGCAGAGCTTGTTCGCATGCAGGTGCAGGGTCGAAAGTTGCGTGTAGCGAGCAAATACCGTCTTTGGAAGCTGCGCAATCGCGTTGCCGCTGAGGTCGATCCACTGGAGACGCGTCGGGTCTTCAAACACGCCACTTAGCGCGGCGTCGAGGTCATCGACCGACGTCAAGCCATTGTCGTTGAGTCGAATCGAGACGGGCGGTGTGTACACCTCGCCGCCGACGATTTTGGCCGCCGTCTTCTTGTGCTACAAGAGAGCTACTTAGATATCGCTGGTAGTAGCAAGCGATGCCACATACGACCACTTTGCCCGCGTCGTCGGTCGTGAGTCGCTTCCGCCCCGAAATCGGGTCCTCCTTGACAATGTCTGCTCCCATATAGCGAAGATCAGAGGCGTTTGATTTTGAGAAAGGACGCACCGAGGATTGAGTTGAGGTTCATGAACGAAAAGTCGAGCGGAATGTCCGGGAGTCGGGCCTTGATCTCTTTTACCGTCGGCGCAAGCTTGCGCGTCGGTGACCCGGACGGTGCTGTCGTCGCACGAACGCTCGCCTTGGATGGCGACGCGGCCATCAGCTTGTCCATTTCGGATGTTGCGAAAAAATGATGAGACCGGAGGTGAAGGAGGTTACGGACGCCGTTTCAGGAACCAATGGTCGACGGTCCCGCGCTGTATGGCGGCCGGCGGCTCGCCGCAGCGTCGAGCGACGTCCGCGCTATCTACGAGCTATCCACGAAAGAAACCGTGTCCGTCCTCTCGTACAACCTCATGCGCCAGCTGCACGCCACGAGCAATTACAAGCCGTACTGCGCCGAGTACATTCTGGGTAGCACCCGTCGCAAGGACCAGCTCCTCGCGTTCGTGCATGATGCCATCGTCTTTCGCATCAATTGAATGTGCGTGTAGAGAGATTACCGCGTACGACGCCGACGTTTTATGCTTGCAGGTTCTTTGATGCGCCGAAGCGAATCGATCACCACATGGATGACATATTTCTGGTGGTAGGAAGTCGACGACTACGAGCTGTACTGGATCCATGCGCTCAACGCACTCGGCTACGACAGCGTGTACCACCGTCGACCGGGCGACTATGACGACGGCCTCGTCATTGCGTTCCGTCGCCTCAATTTTCAGATCTTTCGCACGCAGCGTGTGGATTTGAACGCTCTCGTGGCCCAGACGCGCCGCGAGAACCTCGCGGCCAAGCTCGAGCAAGACAACATCGCTCTCTTTGTCGCATTGCAGCCGTGGGAAACCTGTGCCTTTCCGAGCCCTCTCTGTGTTGGTACGTTGTGTATTGCGAAAATTGACAGATAGACGCATGATACGACATGACAATAGTCAACGTGCAGCTTGCTAGTCATCGGGACCACGACGTCGTGCGGGACCTTCAGTTGCGATACCTTCTCCCACAAGTCGAGGCGTTCAACGCCGACTTTCAAATGCCCGTCATCGTAGCCGGCTCGTTCAACGCCCGACCGAGCGACGACGTCTACCATGTTATGCGCACGGGGCGGGCGCGGCCGGCGCCTGCTCCCCCAACGCGCTTGGCGCCACCGGTTCTGAGCGACGCCACGACGAGCACGCTCGTTGTTTCGTGGGAGACGCCCATTTCAGTGGTGCGTCATCGATGGGTCCACATAAAGTCAAGATGACGCGCCTAGGACGGGCCAGTTCTCGCATATCGACTGGACCGCCGCGTCAACGGCAGCACGACTGTCGGGTTTACGCATGAAATCGTGCTGGACGACGTGGCCACATCGCACAAAATCACCATGCTCAGTGCGGGCACGCAGTACGAGTTTCGCGTCGCGGCCAAAAATGCGTTTGGCTGGAGCGCGTACAGCCCGGCGTCGGCTCCGTTTCAGACGCTTCAAGTATGACTCGTAGCTTCTATCCAAAGGAAGGGGTAGACGCTGCTGATAGGGCCGTCATCACGCGTGGCGGGGCCGCCCCCCAGTGGTCCCCCCGGTCGACAATGACGAATTGAGCAACCCTTTCAAGGTTCGCATTTGGCTCGACAGAGATCTATGTTGACTAAAGTGTGTGAGCCGTAGCTGTCGTACGGCTCGGGCAAGACGCCCCGCTTCATCGATGGCACGGTGCAGGACCAGCAATGTCCGCGCCCGAGCCGCCTCGAGCCCGATGACGCTCTCTACGAGACGCTGCAGTTCCGCGGTGACCGCGAAGACGGCTTGCTGCACTACGAGGTGTTTGAGAGCGCGTACGGCCGCTACAGCTACGGCGGCGAGCCCGTGTGTACGTACGTCACGGAAGCGTGGACCGGCACGGTCGACTACATCTTTTTCACGAAAAAAGTACCCAGCCGAAACTGTGAGCCAAGTTCAATGCTTGATGGCATAGGAGTTGGCGCCATTCCAGCTGCTAACACTGCCGCCACTCGATACGCTGGTCGGACATGACGTCCGCGAGCCTCCTACGATTGTCGACGCCGGTATTGTCACAATGTCTTCTTCTACCTCGACAAGACAAAGACAATGTCGGGATAGATTATGCTGCGTTCATTCCTCGTGACTGGGACAGCCGTGTCACGCTTGGCGACAAACGCAACCCCAAGTACGCGGGCGAGTGGCCGCCCAGCGTCTTCCAGCTTCCCAACCCAAAGCGAAGTCACCAATGGCTGCCTAACGAGACGTTTGCGTCCGACCATTTCGCACTCCTGGTCGTGCTCGCCTTTTGCGACCAAGAACTCGCCACGTCGTGGAATTAAAAACGCGTTTTTTACAATTCTTCTTTGGAGACGGCGAGGGCCTGGCGGCACGGCAGTAGCTGCAGCGTCGGACTTACTTTGGTCGTATCGTCCGGCACCCGCGCCGAGTACCCGCGGTTGGGCGGCAACGGCGCGTAGCGTTTGCAGT